TTAATCTTCTCCATCCTTAGCCATCCTTGTTCCTTTATGGTTTATCATTATCTCTTTGGTGTTTTTCTGTCTTATTAAACTGTTATTTTCATGTTTCCTACCATTTAAAGGTAATCTTGTATGTGGCCAAAATAACTCAAAATACCATGACTGAGCCCCTTTAAAATATACCGCATGCAATTTTCTCATACAAACAAGCCGTTTGTCAACATTGACAAACGGCTTGATGGGGTTAAATTAGAATCGACTAAAAGAGTGTTTTTTCATAAAGGGGCAGATACTTTCAATAATTGTATATGAATCTAGTTCCAGTCTTTTTATCTCTTTTTATATGTATATTTTCAGATTTCTTATAAAGCTTTTTAGATTTTTGCATATTTTATACTTTATTTTATTAATTATTTATTTGTTTATTTTTACGAAGGACCCATGTTGATAGCAGTTCTTATAATTGAAATGGTCATCCTGCATAAAAATGCTTATTTATTATTAGTATTTTATTATTGTGGCAATGAAAACTAAATTGAAATAGTTGTTAGAGTGTACACTTACAGGTTTGAGTCGCAAGGCATCTCTGTAACCTCCAATAAGTGACACCATGGCACAAAGAAATGCCCTGGAGACATTGTCATCAATTGGATAAACAGGTTTCTTGAGAGTGTTCTTTAGAGTGTACACCTAAAATGCAAGAACAAGCATTTTTCTGTAAGGTTATAATGGTCATAAATGAATTCCAAAACATACTCTTAATTTTGATTCAACCATTTTTCATTGTGGGTCTTTTCAAAATATTCCACAAAGACACCTGACCCAGTTACAAGAGGTGTATAGTGGCCCCATGTTTAGTGCAATCCACTCCAGATTGAGAAGTCTGGGTCCAGCCCTGGCTGAAGTCATTGTGTTGTGTTCTTGGGGAAGACAGTTTCCTCTCACAATGCCTCTCTACCGGTAAATTATATGCTGGGGGTGAGGGTAACCCTGCGATGGACTAGCATCCCTTCCAAGGGGAGTAGAAATACTCCTAAACATGTCACGCTTCAGAAACTGGAGATAAGCACCCGCCTGATGTGCTACTTGGCCTCGTATGCAGACTTAACCTTACTCAACCCAGTGCCCAAAACTTACTGTAAGGCAACATGCCAAACATCCATAAGAGAAAATCATGTTATTATGAGATGGCAAATTTCAAATGCACAACTATGACTGACTTACAGCATCGGGTGGCAGCTGTGAAATATCATCAAATGGACTCTCCACTATATTTGTATCAGCATCAAAAATTACAACTTCATCTAGTGGCATTTGACGCACTTTCTAAAGAAACACAATGGCAGACAAAAATTATAACAAAACCTTAAAACATGACATTAAGCCTCTACAACATGTACAACAATTCTATTATAATAGTCTAGCAGACACCCAGACATGCAACAGGAATGAAGAAAATCATCGTAAATATATGTCAGAATATGCTCTAATCTACTACTAACATCAGCTAGCATTATAAGAAGAATCCAGAATCAGGTACTATGAAAATTGGTGCTACACACTTAGATTACTTTGAATTGCTTTAGACTTCATTCAAAGTACCCTGTCAAAGAAGTTACAAATATACTGTACAATAGATACATATAAGATTAAATTTGGAAATACAGTTAACGATAAAGATTAGCGAAAAAACTGAGCAACGACATTTCGGTGTCATCCTGGCACCATTTTCAAGTTAAAAAATATTTGTGCGAAAAGTAAACTAATTTATACCAATGGTAGAGGTGCGAAATTGAATAAA